AATTTTTACCTCATTACTGATGATGGTCCAGCCACAGGACGACTCTGCATCACTTGATGTCTCTGACATTTCTGTCAGCAGTGTACGGTGGTCTAGAAGAGACAAGGAGGGCCAACATCTGAGACAGTGTGTGGCAGTGAAATGATCATGTAGCTACTGTTGTCCTCAAATGTATTCATACCCTCCCATTAAAGAAGGAAAAAAAAACAAACAGCTGTCACTGAAATAAGTTGAAACTGACAAAAGTTTTTGCTTTTGAGTTGTGGTTCCACAAAAATATTTAAAAAAATAAAAACAAAACAAAACACAAATGAGCATGATGGGACCCATCAACTAATATTTAGTTGAACAACCCTTTGAGCCAATCACTGCAATCAAATGTTTTCTGTAACTCTCAATCAGACTTCTGCACCTGTTGACAGGTATTATGATTTCACTGCTCATCAGCAAAGTGCTCTAGTTGGACAGTTTTTTAAAATTATTATTCTTATTATTCTTTTCAACCACAATTCAAAAGCAATGTCTTATTTCAAGAAATTATAATTTAGTAAATTTGTATTCATTACTACTTCTTTCAGTTTCGATTCATTTGAGTGACTATTGTGAATTTTGCCTTTTATTTAATGGAAGGTTATGAATACATTTGAGGACGACTGTAAATATGTCACAAGCAGAAAAACGCTATGATAGTTTGTTTTTTAGGTCAGGTAGTCCAAGATGTGTGACAGGACCCGTCTAACCAGCTGTAAACACCTAATATCCAGTTGAGTCATTCATTCCCAGCTTGTCGTCGCACAAACACAAACACAAACAATCCAGCAGCGCCAACAGCGGCCCCTGGCGGCCACAGGCTTCACTAGCAGCTCGCAGATGATGCCAACCAGCGCGGCCTGACTCCGAAAACAGTCACCGTTCAGCTCAAAAACAGAGATATGAGCGGTGAACCGTGCAGCTCTTCACTGCGGCGGACATTAGCTTCGCCCGTTGACACCAAACATCGACATTTAGCGGCTGTTTCGCAGCTACTCAACTAACTTGTCAGGTTTGTTATTAACGCCACCGCTCTGAACACCGTCGGAACATGTAATTACCGCCGCGTCGACGGCGTACATTATTTCCAGCAACCTTCTTACAAAGCTATATTTATTAAAAAACAAAGAAACACGACTTAACTGACCGGTGCTGTGTGCCGACGACGAGGCAGCTGTTTGCAAGCAACCCCACAGTTATTGCAGTATGCCCGAGCCCAGGTTATCCGTTAACAACGCCGCAGGCCAGCAGCAGACGGGAAATGTAGTTTTAACGCGATTGTGCAACGGCTAACTCGAAGCTAATAGAACTACATTTCCCGTGAGCCAGCGCGGTGGCCAAACTGGCTCGGCGAGGGTGGGGCAAACCCCGCGGAAACAAATCTTGCGGCTGCGAGAAAAAAATAGAAAAAACATAAACAAGGAAGCGTGACAAAGCAAGCCGCGTACTGCGCGAACTACGAGTAAAAACACCATAAGAGACAATTTAATGACTTTGTGCGGTGGTGAGACGTGAGCAGGACTTTTAAAAAGCGCGTCGCTAATACAGAAAAGTTTAGAAAACACGTGGTCATTGTTGGTCTGGGCTGACCGGACTAATCAATACATAAGCGTCACGTGTGAAGTTGCTCCACCGGTTGGTGAAGTTCAGCAACTCATAACTACTATATTTATATGACGCTGCTACTGTGGAGACAACAGCACATGAATCTATATTAGCTTAATTATCCTTTAATTTGATAACTATCACTGTAAATCACTGACTTGATAACACCACATGCGCAAAATGTGCACACATATTGTCTGATTCTTTAAAAAAATATTTCATGTGCTTTTTTATCTAAATTAATATTAATTAAAATCATTATCATTGCAATATAGTTCATCAAAAAATGTCTAAATGCATAAATCTAAAAGCCTATGATCTGCTGTTAAAACACAATACCACTAGAGGGCAGTGTTGTCAATGTTTTGCCAGGTTTTCGAGCAGAAACTGTGAAATAAAATCTGTCCACCGGTATAGTTTGTGTTTGCAGATTAAAGCAGCTGTTTGCCCGCTCAGGTCACCTGCTTGTCAGTCAGTCCGTCCATCTGGCTGCTGGGAAATCACACATCTTCAATGCAAACCAACGCTTTATACAATATCTTCATTGATTATGCTCTACATAATTAATGCAGGGGTGTAGAATAAATGATACTTTGATCATGCAATTTATTATCACGTGCGTTGCCCTTTTTTTTGCTGTTTTATCCTTTAAATTTGAAAGGAAAAAGTGAAATTTAAATTGAGTTCAAATTACATTTACCTGGAAACAGTCTTACAGTCTCAGGACCTTCTATTTATCACCATTCTTTAAAGTTATTTTCACAGTTTTATGGTGATTTGTTCACATGCCTATTAGTATACAGCCATTACTTAGCAAAAAGTACTAATACTAGGTGGAAGTGCTCTTCAAGTATTAAAAACAAAAGTCCTCAATGCAAAAAAAAAAGGCCTTTGCAGCTGTTGCACAATTATTCACAATCCAATCAATACACTTTTACTGTCAATAGATGTAATCAAAGTATTTTGTATAAGAATGTAGCTCATGATTGTTTTTGTTTTAACCTAAAAGCCACACAAGTAAATCCTCGTATTTGAGAAGCTATGGCAGCATTTTTGGCAGCAATGCATCAAAAACGACTTAAACTCCTCATGACCAAAGTGAGTCCATTGATTTATAAGAAACTGTCATATTTAAGCTCTTAATGTCTGTTGGCTGCTGAAACCTAGGGCCGCTCTGCAACGTAGGATGTATTATGTTTAAAAATAAAAGCTATATCTTTGCACTGCAGGTTAATAAAAGCAAGCAGCTTTCCGCGCATACTTGTGCCGTTACTAAATTCCTAAATATTAAACAAGAGGTCAGCGCTCTGGCTACAGATAAGACTGCAGGTAGTTGATGTGAAAAAAACAAAAAGCCAGAAATCCAATCAGTTGTTTCTAAACTGTCGCTGTATCTCCTTCGAGGTTTCCACAAGTTGGACTGACTTCTAGTACTGAGTAGAGGTGAAATGTAGCAATGCAGTGTAATACTCAAGTAAAACACCTTAAAATATTATTTAAGACAAGTTCTCGTGATTTAGTCCTTTCATCGCAGTTTGAACTTTTATGAATGATCAGCAGTTGATTGATAGATGAACGACACATTCAGTCTGTAACTTGTTGTTTCGGGGCTCTTATGTGATGACTGTTAGGATCATAGTTTCATGTTCTGACAATCTCTTATTATTATCTTGAGGCATAATCAACATAATTCTTAAACAACTGCAGCATGAGAAAGCGTGAGTGGAGACAGGACTTGGTGCTTTGTGTATATCTTTCCCTGTCACAAGTAGCTATCTGCAGGACGGAGGAACTGAAGGTGCTCAACAGTTGGGTGCTGAGTGGCGAGTTTCTGCACCCACGAGATGGTGGAAGAAGGCCCAAGGACACGGAGGAACCAATTAGCTCGCTGCAACACATTCTGTGCTCATGTAATAGTATAAGTACACTGGATCAGGGAGAGGCAGGCAGTCAGACTTGGTGCCCTGACGTTAACTCTGTTGGTGCTACGGTGAGAAGTTTGATCCAGAGCTCTGTATGCTTATTTAACTATCTGATAAATAAATACACTGAGTGAGACCTAAAGATCTTCTCCTACTGCTTAATTAAACGAATGCACAGGAGCTATCTCACACATAGTTTGATTTCTGGTAGATTGGGATCCAGCTCCGACATCACTTGTTACCTTCTGAAGATCTATCAATGTTATATTACTTATTTTTTCAAATTGTTAATTACATATTTAACTAATAGCTTGGTGACACCGCTGCATTCATGTAAAGAATGCTTTGTTGTTTAATTAATCTGATTTATTGATGAATGTATTCTAATCACATTATTTCAACTATCATATTAAACCGGTCTGTGAAGATGTTCAGCAGAATTAGAAATGAATTGAACAAGCAAGCAACAGAACATTTAACCAACACAACATGTTGAAGAAAAACAAACAGCAGACACCAGATAGTTTTTGTACTTTTATTTAAACTGAGAATCAGACTGTTTCATTATTAATCACTGTCTAAAATCTCCTAACTAAGCATTTTTGGGGAAAAAAAAACAACAACTTGCAAGTAACTTTGCTGACACAGACATCGTATAACAAAACGTGAACAGAAAATAACAGATAACATAATAATTACAAAAAGATACATTCATCAATTTCAAAACTTGAAACCTGCTTTCTCCTGGAGGCGGAGCGGCCGCGGGTCCCCCTGAGTCTGACTGTAAATGACCCGGCGGCGCTCCGCCACACATTGTTTAAACATTACTGCAAAAGACAGAACAAAGAGTTTCACACCAGACTCTCTCTGTTCCGTCACTTTTTAATTCACATGCTCGGACAGCAACATAATTCTAACGTTCATGAGGTGAAAAGCAGCAGACGAGCGTCCTGGGTCGCTTGTTTGATGAAGGCACAGCTTAACCTCACACATCAGCACCCCATGGAAGTTTCATCTGCGCCCGTCACAAGAATGAGGTAGCACTTGTGCACCTGTATGAACTACTAAAGACCCAACTCAGAATCTGTGTGACTCCGGCAGCCGAGTGTTGATTGACCTCAGCTCGAAAGCCTGAAAAGTATTTTAACGAAGCAGGAGGTCAGTATAGTCACTGCATGACATCACCTGAACAGTGATTCGGCTTCAGAAAATAATTTCAGACTCTGGATTGGGCCCTTAAAGCTCTAAAAATACAGGATATATGAAAACATTTAAGTCTAAATGTCCAGCAGGATAACATGACTCCACTGTGTCACGAAACACTTAATCCTGAAAGACAACAGATTTAAAAGAAAAAGAAAAAAAAAAAAGATTTTGTGGAACTAAATGATGATTAAGAAACATTTTCATCCTACGTTCTCGCAGTAAAACACATCATACAGTTACAAAATGTGAATGAGAATACTGAAAATGACAACATTTCACACTAGGATAGGATGCTTTTAAACTGATCTCTTGCCAATATGCAACGGTGACCTTTTTAAAAAAAAAATTCTTTGGTTCAACATTGTTTGCTTTTTAAAAGAAATTTTAAACTGATTGTGTCACTTCTCGTTCCCATGATTGAATCCTCTGCAGAACCCTCTGATTAGAACAGAAATGCGGGAACATCTGTGCACCCACTGATGTTTCTACAATCTCTCTTGTGCCATCAAATAATTCTAAACTGCGATAATTTCAATTTGTGGAAGCTTAAAAGGATCGTTATCCACATATAACATCTGCATAAATTCTTCATATATTTATTAAATTTAAAAAATATTTTATATTTATAACAAGGAAATGTCTCAAGTACAAAGTTTTTTTTAAAATTCTGTAATTATTATTTTTTTTACTGATTTGCAAGAAGAAAAATCAGCGGGTGCACACTTACACACAACTGCACTGTTGCAACGCAGACCACTACAATATACTGTATTTAGCTCTTATAATATTCTCCTACAATGTACAGACATCTGCTTGCAACAGTTTTCGAGGAACTCTGCGACAGGATTATTTGGTTAGTGTGCATAACATTGATTATTAATTGTCACTGAATCGTCGTCAAGCGCCCGTGAATCCTTCTGGCGCTTCCTCAGAGTTTTAACCTGCGACTCTCTGCGCGCTCCACGTCGCGGGTCAAGGCCACTAATGTGCAAGGCTTTGTTTGAGGAACAGCACCTCAACTGATCTCCAAGGCCGCGTCTCATCTTTGGTCTAATGCGTTTCGGATTATTTCACATTCCTCAGTAACCCTCTGCCGGAGATTAGTTGAGAGACTAAAATAAAACTCAATTAGCAAACAACTCTTTGGGTAAAAGCGTCACAGTCACCGCTGCACATTGGCCTGTAATACAAAACTACTTGGCAGACAAGTGCTAATCTTCACCTACTCTACAGCAAAGCAAAACAAAAAAAAAAAAGTAACTACAAAGTGTACTCAGAAGTACATTATCTTCTAACAAAAATATAGATTTTTAGAAGTCAAACATTTCACGGTGTTCATTCAGTTCTTCACTTCAATCTCTGATTAAACACTTCCATTGCTTTCACTACAATCATTCTTCACGTGTTGCATCCTCACGTGGAGCTTCTTCCCTCAGAGAGATTCGGCTTTGGTTCGGGCGTCTGAGGGACGCTTTCCACATTAAGGCCAA